AAGCAATACAAGGGAAAACAAACTAAATAAATTGCATGGATTTTTTTTGTTATTTCTTCTTTTTAATTTAATTACTTTTTGAGATTTTATTTGATTATGATGAATATAACGAAAAGGTAACTTTATTTCAGTCATTAATTTCTAAGAAATAATTCAATGGAAGAAATTAATAAAGGTATCAATTTAAATTTTGATATGGAAAAAGATGCCTTAGTTGAATGGGCTAAGTATGGAAGGTTGTTAAACATTATTTGTGGTGATTTTGTTACTTATCCTCCTGGAGTTAAACCAGCTTTACGAACAACAGAAACAGTTGATTGGAGAACTCCTTTTACTTCATACTTCTGAGAGTTCAATAAGAAAAACCAAGTCTAATATGCATGAGTGATAAATAAAACAATGTTTTGAATGTAATTAAATTTGTAATAAAATATTATTTACATCGTTTGATTTTTATGTATTTGATTATTACTAAGAACTTTGTTATTCATTTATTGCCAGATCATGTGTTTAATTGTAAGAAAGAGTGTAAATTTAATGATAATTATATAAAAGAAACTATAACAATAAAACAATTTTTTTTTATCTTGTAGTGTTATTAATTATTGATATAATTAACCATATTTGTTGACTAATCGCCATGAGTTAGCTGTTTAACTAAAGTTTGTTTTTATTAAATTATTTTAAATACAATAACTAAGAAGTCAAACCAGAAGTAATTTGTTAGAGAGAGAAATTAAACTATTTAATGGAATAAATATTTTTTGTGATTATAAAAATGAAACAGCATGAAACAATTAAATTAAATGGTTGGAATCAAACGAATTATTAACAAGTTTGTTAATACTAATAAGAAAATAAAATGACACTATACCTAAGAACAAATATAATAGATGGTATGAGTTATTTAGTTCATTTTTAAAGTAATACTAATTATCTCAGGAATTATTTTTTGACAATACTTTAAAATAATGAGTAATGTAATTCAACATATAAATTCTAATTTTTATAATGTAGAACTAAGTATTTAGGTATTGGATAGAATAAAATATTGTCTAATTGAATATACTCGTTATTATCAAAAATTTATAGAACGTATCAAAAAAAGAAAAACAAAATTTCTTAATAAATTTGGTTTATAAAAGTCAAAACCAATTAATGAATTTGTAAATTTAATATTATAAAAATACAATTAAATAGACACAAAGCTTAACATATATTAAAAATGGTAAATTATTATTGATAATAATGAAAATAATAAATGCAATAAAACTATAGCAAAAATTGATTGGATTATTAGTTAAATACTGAAAATAGTTAAATATTAATGATAATCTATCTAATTTTTAAATATCTTGAAATTATAATCAATAAATTTTTTAATATGTCTTTTAAATAAAATGTTTTTACAATAAAAGAAGATAATTTAAAAGTCATTTATATATTTAATAAATTTATTTTATAAACTCAAGTTATATTGAAGAGGTATATTAAAAATACTTTTATTCTTAAATAGGAAAATACATTAATTAAAAAAAGAATTACCAAAAAAGAAAATGTTGTAAAAATGAATTAATTATTTTAAATTGAATAAGTATTTCTATTAATAGATAATAAAAACTTTCAACATTTAAAAATTTAAAAAAAATTTTTTGGGTGAAATTGAGGGTTTCGCCATTGAAATGTTCTAGTGATAATTTGAAATGAAATACTGAAACTAAGAAAAGCAAAACAAAAAAAAATTAAATTAGAAGGAATGAATATAGGTGAAACTACTATTAGTTTGGAAGAATATGTTCAACATAAAGTTGCAGAACGAGAAATTACCATTCTTACACAACAAAATGAACGACTAAAAAAAGAAAATGATGAAGCAAAAGAAATTATTGGTTCGTATCAAAAAGCAATTAATAATAAAACAACAGAAATACAACGAATTATTACTGACTCAATGAAATATGAAAGTGACATTAAAATAGCAAAATTAAAATATGAAGCATTGGAAAAAAAAATAGAACATAAACAAGGATTACTTGTTTCTAAAAAGGAAGCTAATAAAAAACCTTCTAAACAATTTAAATTTATTACACCAAATGTCTTAAAAAAAAAAGCTATTAAACAAAAACCTGTAAAAAGAGTTTATAGAAAAAGAGAAAAAGGAAATAAAATAAAAAGTAAGTCTTCATTATTAGAAAATTCTACTACTCTTCTTAACGATGAACCTTCAACAACTGAACTAACATCAAGTATTGATAATCAAAATAGTCAAACAACTGATAGTATTTCATCAAATGTTCCATATAAAACAGATATTGATGGAAATGTTTCTGTTCGTATGAGAGATATTTGGGATGATCCATCTGTTAATGACCTTGTTGTAAATTATATAATGATTTTTACTATTGTTGCAAGTAAATTAAATTCTCCTTCATTTGAACTTTTTAATAATTGTCCTTGTTTTACTGCTAGAGACATTTATTTAGAATTTTGTTCAATTAAAGGAATATCTTATGTTTCCATTGATGAACCCCAAAAAGAGAAGTTGATAACTATCAATGTAGATATTTTTTGTAGATGTATACGATTAATAGAAACAATTCAAAAGGCAAGTTGTCGTTTATGTGTGATTGAGTCTCCATTACGAATTGTGTTTCTTAAATAATTTCATTCTAATAAAAAATAGTTAGAATAATTAATATGTTCATTCTCTTCTTTTTTTATTTTTATTTTTTTCTCTTAAAAAAAGTAAATTTATTTTATTCTTCTTTGTTTCAAAGAATGGTTTGTTCTTTTTGATTTTATATTATTTCCCTTGGTACTTACTAAATAAGGAAAACAATAAAAAATTAATTCTTTTACATGAAAAAGCTTCAAGTGGTGATAGTAATTCACAACTGTTATTAGGAATTTATTTTGCTGACACTTTAAAACAATATGAAGACTCTTTTAAATGGTTAACAATGTCTGCAGAACAAGAAAATACCATTGCACAATTTAAACTTGGTGAATGTTATTTACATGGAAAAGGAGTTCCAAAAAACTCTTCAAAAGGATTTAAATGGCTGTTAAAAGCTGCTACAAAAGGATATGCTGAAGCACAATTATTAGTTTCAACTTGTTATTTTTCAGCAGATGGTGTAAAAAAATCTTCAAAATTGGGTTTTGGATGGTTGTTAAAAGCCGCACAACAAGGAAATGTTAAAGGAATGAATGGTGTTGCATTATGCTATTTAAATGGACTTGGAACTGTATCTAATTTAGACGAAGCAACACATTGGTTTGAAAAAGCAGTAGAAAAAGGAAATAAAGGATCACTCATCTCCCTAGGTGAATGTTATATAAAAAGAGATCAAATGGAATTAGCATTTAAAATATTTAAAATTGCTGCAGATAATAATAATGTAAAAGCACAACTATTTGTTGCTAATATGTTATTAAATGGAGAAGGAGTTGAATGTAATGAAGAAGAAGCAATTCATTATTTAGAAAAAGCAGCAGAATTAGGTTCAAAAGATGCTGTAAACAAATTAGCTGAACTACAAGAAAATCATAAAAAAGTTGATGATTATATTAATTCAATGAAAAATAAATCTGGGATATTACCTAACTTAGGAATAGTCTTTTGGATTATTTGTATATTAGTTGCTCTTGGTGGTGTTTATTTATATCAAATATCTAACAACTAATAACAAGTTAATTATACGTTTTTATATTATTATATTATTATTTTATTATAATTATTATTCTATTACTCTCTAACTTATAAAAATTTTTATTCTTTATTGTTTAAAAAATACTGAACCATACTTCATTTCTTGAACTTAATTTAATAAAGAAGTAGATTAATTCAGATATTCATGAAATTAATCAGATCTGTAATTAATTAATTTTTAGTTCATCTCTTATAACTATTTTCCAATAAATAAATTATAATTCATTATGTTTTTTTTTTCAATTTTCATAATGAAATAGTTAATTACAATTTAATAAATAAAAAATATAAAGAAGTAAAAACTAATATAATCTATTTTTATATAATTATTTTTCAAATTTTTACAATTTTTTAAGAATTTCAATTTATTTTATAATAAACAATCTATTTTCATATAGTTTTATTTATAATATACGAAAAATAAATCCTTCTTTCAAAATTAAGTTTATTACTATAAACCACTCTCAATACAACTGTGTTTAAATCTAAAATTATTAGTTAAGGGATGAGCGGAATTGGAGACGC